GAGGTAATAGTAGCAGTAGTGGTGGTAGTGGTAATGGAGTGGCAACGATGGTGGTAGTAATGGAAGTTGTAGAGGTGGAGTGGAAACAATGGTAATAATGCTAGTAGTGGAATGACATTTGCAGTAGTAGTGAATGTGGTAGAGAAGATGGGTGGTGAGAGAGAGATGAGTGAGAGAGAGAGAGAGAGAGACAGAGACAGAGACAGAGACAGAGTGATAAGTGAGAGAGAGAGAGAGAGAGACAAAGTGGTCGCTAAAAGTGCATTTTCTTGTAGTGAAGAGCTCGGTAAATAGAGAAGAGGGGAATGAGAGAGTGAGCAAAGTAAACACAATAGGGGAGAGAGACAGACAGACAGACACACAGAGAGAAAAAGAGAGAGAAGAGTGACAGACAGAAATAAAGAGAGAAGAATGATGAGTGAGAGAGAAACAGAGAGAAAAAGAGATAGAGAGAGACAGAGAAAGAAAGAGATAGAGACAGAGACAGAGAGAAACAAGAGATGAGTGAGAGATAGACAAAAAGAGAGAGAGAGAGAGAGAAAGAGAGCGAAAAGAGATGATCGAGAGAAAGACATAGAAAAAGAGAGAGATAGAGAGAGAAGAAAGATGAGTGAGAGACAAAGAGAAAAAGAGACAGAGAGAGACAAAGATAGACAGACAGACAGAGAAGAGTGATGAGTGAGAGAGAGAAAATGAAGAGAGAGAGAAAGAGATAGAGACATAGAGAGAAAGAGATAGAGAGTGAGAGACAAAAAAAGAGACAGAGAGAGAGGAGAGATGAACGAGAGAGACAGAGAGAGAGATAGAGAGAAGAGAGATGAGCGAGAGAGACATAGAGAGAAGAGAGATGAATGAGAGAGACAGAGAGAGATAAGAGAGATAGCGAGAGAGACAGAAAGAGAAGAGAGATGAAAGAGAGTGAGAGAAGAGAGATGAGCAAGAAAGAAAGAGAGAAGAGAGATGAACGAAAGAGACAGAGAGAGAAAAGAGATGAGAAAAGAGATAGATGAGTGAGAGACACAGAGAGACAGACAGACAGAAAAACAGATAGAGAAGAATGATGAGTAAGAGAGAGGAAGATGAAAAAATGGGTGAAAAGAGACAAACAAAGAGAGAAAGAGAAAAAGAGCGAAAAGAGATAAACGAGAGAGATACAGGGAGAGATGAGCGAGAGAGCGAGAGAGATAAAAAGAAGAGAGACAGAGAGAGATGAGAGAGATAGAGAAAAGAGAGATAAGCGAGAGACAGATAGAGAGAGACAGACAGACAGACAGAGAAGAGTGATGAGTGAGAGAGAGAAAGAAAGAGACAGACAGACAGAGAAGAGTGATGAGTGAGAGAGAGAGAAAGAGAAAGAGAAGAGAAACAGAGACACAGAGAGAAAGAGAGAGACAGACAGACAGAAAGAGAGAGAAAGAGTGATGAGTGAAAGTAAATTTTTATTTTTCTTTCAACGACTAAATTATTTTAGTTGTAAAAACTATCTGTACAGCGACTAAAATAATTTTTAGTCGCTGAAATTAAATTTTTGCCGACCAAACTTTTGGTCGCCAAAGATAAAAAGTAAATTTTTATTTTTCATTCAGCGACTAAATTATTTTAGTTGTCAAAACTATCTATACAGCGACTAAAATATTTTTTAGTCGCTAAAATTAAATGTTTGCCAACCAAAATTATGGTCGCCAAAGATAAAAAGTAAATTTTTATTTTTCTTTCAGCGACTAAATTATTTTAGTTACCAAAACTATCTATACAGCGACTAAAATATTTTTTAGTCGCTGAAATTAAATTTTTGCCGAACAAACTTTTGGTCACCAAAGATAAAAATTAAATTTTTATTTTTCATTCAGCGACTAAATTATTTTAGTTGCCAAAACTATCTATACAGAGGCTAAAATATTTTTTAGTCGCTGAAATTAAATTTTTGCCGACCAAACTTTTGGTCGCCAAAGATAAAAAATAAATTTTTATTTTTCATTCAGCGACTAAATTATTTTAGTTGCCAAAACTATCTATACAGCGACTAAAAAGAAATTAATTTTTTGCCGACCAAACTTTTGGTCGCCAAAGATAAACAATAAATTTTTATTTTTCATTCAGCGACTAAATTATTTTAGTTGCCAAAACTATCTATGCAGTGACTAAAATTAAATTTTTGCCGACCAAAATTTTGGTTGTCAAAGATAAAAAGTAAATTTTTATTTTTCATTCAGCAACTAAATTATTTTAGTTGCCAAAACTATCTATACAACGACTAAAATATTTTTTAGTCGCTGAAATTACATTTTTGCCGACCAAAATTTTGGTCGCCAAAGATAAAAAGTAAATTTTTATTTTTCATTCAGCAACTAAATTATTTTAGTTGCCAAAACTATCTATATAGCGACTAAAATATTTTGTAGTCTTTGAAATTACATTTTTGCTGACGAAAATTTTGGTCGCCAAGGATAAAACGTAAATTTTTATTTTTCTTTCAACGACTAAATTATTTTAGTTGCCAAAACTATCTATACATCGACTAAAATATTTTTTAGTCGCTGAAATTACATTTTTGCCGACCAAATTTTTGGTCGCCAAAGATAAAAAATAAATTTTTATTTTTCATTCAGTGACTAAATTATTTTAGTTGCCAAAACTATCTATACAGCGACTAAAATATTTTTTAGTCGCTAAAATTAAATTTTTGCCGACCAAACTTTTGGTCACCAAAGATAAAAAGTAAATTTTTATTTTTCATTCAGCGACTAAATTATTTTAGTTGCCAAAACTATCTATACAGCTACTAAAATATTTTTTAGTCGTTGAAATTAAATTTTTGCCGACCAAACTTTTGGTCGCCAAAGATAAAAAGTAAATTTTTATTTTTCATTCAGCAACTAAATTATTTTAGTTGCCAAAACTATCTTACATTTTTGCCAACCAAAATTTTGGTCGCCAAAGATAAAATGTAAATTTTTATTTTTCTTTCAGCGACTAAATTATTTTAGTTGCCAAAACTATCTATACAACCACTAAAATATTTTTTAGTCGCTGAAATTACATTTTTGTCGACCAAAATTTTGGTCGCCAAAGATAAAAAGTAAATTTTTATTTTTCTTTCAGCAACTAAATTATTTTAGTTGCCAAAACTAACTATACAGCGATAAAAATATTTTTTTAGTCGCCAATGTGGCAAATTTAGCAACTAAATTTTTTTTAGTCACCAATTGTGAGATTTTTAGTGACTAAATATTTTTTTAGTCACTAAAAATTAATATACCTCGACTAAAAAAATTTAGTAGCTAAATATTGTACTTTTACCGACTAACATAATTTTTGGTCGCCAATTTCACAACTTTTGGCAACCAAAATATTTTTAGTCGGCAAAAGTGGCCGCCAAAACTGTATTTTCTTGTAGTGTTGTTATGCCTACTTGTAGACACATTCTAGAAATTACCTGAGTCGTATTTGCCGCCCCCTTTGAACTATATTGGAATTATTGAATTGTTAAACTCTCGTGATTTCATTTTGCACAAAAGTTTAACAAAATAGAGATATATAATTTTGAATATGGCATGGCATATGCATTCATCTCATGAATTTGTATAAAATGTATATACTTTGTGAAGATTTTCCTACTAGGTTTTGTGCTCACTCTATGGGATTTTATGCAGGAAAAGATGTAGTGATCCCGCCAAGTTAGAGGCGTGGGAATATGTTTTGAGAGCATAAGGCTCTTTTCTTTGTTGTAATTATTTTTGACAAGCCAAGAGCTTTATATGTATGTAGCTTCGAAATGTAACTGGGTTTAAGTCTTGGAACTTGTAACCCTTGAGGGCATTTATTTACACTTGATTTATTATGACACATGTTATAAATTCATATACTAGGAATGTTGAATGAATATTCTTATGTGGATTATCTTTTGTAAATCTCTTGATGGTTAATGAACAGATTTAAAGATGATATTAATATTGAGACATACTTACATTTATATTAACTAATGGAAGTCGATGAATCTTTATTGCGTAAATTTTTGGGGCATGTCATAAAAGTATGAAAAGTCTGTCATATTTTACTTTTTTAAATTTTAATTTTATCCTTTTAAATATATTATATTTTTTTAAAAGTCATAAAGAATCCTATATAAACCAATTATCTCTTTATTTTTAGAGTTGCACACTCAAAATGGGGAGTATGCCATGTTTTCTACTTTCTTTAAATCCAAATTTTATCCTTTCAAATTTATTATATTTTCTAAAAGTCAAGAACAATCTTATATAAACCAATTACCTCTTTATTTTTATGGTTGAATACTCAAAAACGATATATTTACTTTCAAAAGTCCTATATAAATATAAACAAATTCTCTCATTTTTTATAAAAAAAAAATAATAAATGTCTCATTTTTTACATTGATGATGATTGACAAACAAAAAATATTTATTTTTTCTTATTTTTGGTGTCTGCTTCTATACTTATATACATAATATTTACAATTGTCTATCATGGATTAAATCACTGTGAATATTTTTGGTTGAATCTTAAAGTTATATGCATTCGTTCGAATCTAAACATAGAAAAACACATGCGCTTTTAAAGCAAAGATTTGTACTGCATTTCAAACATTCGCAGATTATCTTTATAATAATAACCAAGTCATAACTAACTCCATAATAGATTGTAACTAAATACCATAACAAAATGCTAGTGACACTAAGGATTTTACCAAAAAAAATTACCAAACACTCAGATGGGTGTAAGACCTCATACCTATGTGAGTGTCTAGTAATTTTTTTAATAATTTTCTTAGTGTCTCTATCATGACTCATATCATAAAGGTCATAACTAAAAGCATATCATACACACATTTTTTGAGGAGTATATTAGAAAAATTCTCATAAAAGCAATATATTTAACGATTGTAAATACGGGATATATTAAATTTTGTATCCACTCCAAAATAATATAAAAATTATTATATAAGAAAGAAAAAGAGAAAAACTTGTAACACATCAAAATTTAAGAGAATAGTTAACCACTAAATCATATGAAGTTTCACATAAAACTGTTGCTCCTTCTAGGTATAACCTACATATATATTTTCCTGGAAACACTGATATATATATTTAACATGTCAATGCATAAACCACTCACAACCAGGCTACCTCAAGACATTATTATTTTTATTTTCTGTCTATTATCATAGGCATCCCTTAAAACCAGTTTATCTTAAAACTAAATGGGATTTTTTTCGCCCCAAAAATGAACTAAGCATGTTTGAGCTTCTAGTAAACATGATTATTTTTAGAGTAGCTGAGGCATAAAAACTATATTTACAAACATAAACATAAACATATACGTAAGAAGATTGTATAAGTTATTTGGAGGCGCCCCTGCTGTCAAGGCATTTTTGGTGCGCACTTGCCCCACAAGTCGGTCAGTTGGGGTACTACCACCAGGATAAATGCAACCATTATAACCTACCACACAAAAAGGAATCCATGAGAACATTTTTCAGAATTTTTCTTATAAAAATAAGTTAATTTTTAGAAATATCAAAAAGTTGTTGAAAAACGATATGAAAACAGTGACATTTTCGAACTTTTCATTATTTCTTTTCCGAAAACATAAAAAATAAAATGAAAAACAAAAATAAAAACACTACCAATTACCAAACATATTTTTCTTTTTTTCCTTGTGAAAAGTTAAGTAATTAATTACGGGGTGTTTTGAGAAGGGACCAAAAAAGCTAAATATTAATTTTTTTTACTAATTTTAAATAACATCACCTCTCACATTAAATAAAAAAAAAATTATATTTGTTTTGGATATTTTTTTAATATAGAAATTATTTTTTTTAGATTTTTTATAAAAATAATTTAACAATCTCATCACTAACCATCTTCAACACTATATCATCAAAACAAACACATTTTCAACTAATCTCCTTACTAACAATCCACTTATTAACAATCTTTTCACTAACCATTTCCTCAGTAACAATCTCATCTAACCTAATCCACCAAACAAACATTGCCTAATGCTGTGTTTGGTTGGAGTTTTTGAGGTGGGATTTGGAAAAGGAATGAGAAATGTAATCCTATTTATGTTTGGTTATAATAAAAAATATATGAGAAAAGAAAGGGGGTGAGAAATAAATAAAGAAATAGGAGACCTTTTAGGACATCAATTCTATTTTATAACCAACACAACCAAACATAGTTAGGATTTGAAATTCTATTAATTCTTTCTCCTTTTCCTTTCATTTCCATTTCCCTTTCCATTTCTCTTCTCACTTCAATACATTGTGTTGGATAACACGTCATCGCACGCCACAAACCTCCTTCAAATTGGTTGCCTATAAAAATTATTAATTTATATCTAACTAAGAATGCCCATATAATTAATATTCCAATTTTATTGCATTTGAAAATGATATATATAAATATATTTCTTGTCATTGGTCTTACGTGTATTTATTAAGGATTGAAATTGTTTAAAATAAATAAATAAATAAATAAAAATTGTTAACATTAAATATATTAAAAAAGAATGAAAAAAGATTGAAGGTATATTTAACTTTTGTTGTGAACCTTAAAAAATAAAATAAAATAAAATAAAATAAAATAAAATAAAATAAAATAAAATAAAATAAAATAAAATAAAATAAAATAAAATAAAATAAAATAAAATAAAATAAAATAAAATAAAATAAAATAAAATAAAATAAAATAAAATAAAATAAAATAAAATAAAATAAAATAAAATAAAATAAAATAAAATAAAATAAAATAAAATAAAATAAAATAAAATAAAATAAAATAAAATAAAATAAAATAAAATAAAATAAAATAAAATAAAATAAAATAAAATAAAATAAAATAAAATAAAATAAAATAAAATAAAATAAATTTTGGTGGACATGAGCTTGGGATTGGACTAATAGTCCAATAAAATTATTAATCCGATGTTTGGTTAAACAATTGAAGTACGCTCTAATTATTTTAAACTTGACTATTAGTTAAGATAGGATACATAATCCAACGGATTTGTAGTCCTAGGACTATTAGTCATGGGAATACTAATCCAGTCCGCCCAAACAAACATGGCCTAAGAGTCTTGCTAACAAATATGCATGGCACAAGAAAAATAAAATGGAGAATATGAGACTTTTTATTGAAATCAAATATATATATATATATATATATTTACCTCTACACCTATTTTCTAAACATTTTTTACTCCAATCTCGACACTAACAGTACTAGTTACTAAATGGGCTAACTTAAACTCCCCTTGTTTATTACTATTTGTATGAAGATTTTTAACTTGGCTAACCTTATTCTTACATGACATGATTTCTGTAATTCATACAGAAATAATGTATCTCATTTAGATTTATGTATTGGAGTCATAATTGTTTATCATTTTAATTCATAATTGAAAGTATATCATTATTACATCATTCTTACCTAAAATTCTATATATAAATGATGTATGCATATTATTTATTTATTTTTAATGAATACGTGTAACTCACTTAATTTGACAGATGTAATGATGAAGTGATTATCACATGCCAATTTATATAAAACTTATTTATCAAATGTTTATAATAATCAGCACTTAAAAGAAAATATAATGATATCAACTTCACTTATTTACAATATAATTAAAAAATAAGGCATTGCAATTGAAATGATTTCAATTTTTAAAATGAAGGAAAAAAGTAATAAATGTAGTAACTAAAAAAAAAAAAAATAAATAAAAAATAGCGTTATTTTAAATGGGTTTAGAATTATATACGTCGATACGACATATTTTAATTAAACAAGTCAAATTGTATTACTATGACCTTATTTGGAAAGTAGGTTGATTTTTTTTTTTATTTTTTTTTTAAGTTTTATTTTTATGAGAGAAAAAATAAAATGATTATAATTTGGATGTGACATTTTGTCTTATTGACTTTTTAACTTATTCTGTCTTTTTATGACTATTTTAACCTAATAGTCCCATGCCAAACAAGGGCTATATGTGTAGAGATTTATTAGACTTACTCCCTCCGTCCCAAAATATTAGTCCCTTATTCCATTTTTCATTGTCCCAAAATATTAGTCCCTCTTTATAAATCAAGTACAAAAATAAAGTAAATTTCTTATTTTGCCCTTCTTTTAAATTAATAAACAATTTAAAAAGTACAATTAAGACATTGATATTCCCAAAAAATGTACTATCAAAAAGATAATTTTGGAAAACCAACTTTTTTCAAATGCAATAAGTGTACTACCAAAAAAAGTTAGATTCCCTAAAAGGGACCAATATTTTGGGACGGAGGGAGTATTTAATATCAATAATGCTAGGAACAAAGAAATCAAATACAAAATGAAATAAAATCCTCTTACACATCTAGACTCCACTCCTTATGAGAAGATTATATCTCATTTTATATTTAATTTACATACATACAGACTTACTCATTTAATATAATTTAATATAAGTGTAAAACTTGTCAACCCATTTACTATACAAATTCAACCGAACTCCACTGATTATAGACACTTCTTATCATATGTGGAAAATTGTCACCATTAACCCTTAATAGTACACCTTTTTACTTGGTCATTATTAAATGGAGAAAACAAAGCCCTTGAGTTTTTGTCATTATTATCAAGTCTTTGAAGACTTGGGATATTAAAGTTGAAGCATTTCATCAAATCATCATAAACATTACCAAATTCCCAGTGTTCACATGCACCTTGCCACTATGAGTGACCGACCCGTTATTTAAAATGTTATGAGCTTTAAATTTTCTATTAAATAAATAATCAAATATCTCACATAAGTATGAGATCCACAAAAGTATAAATTTCATACACATGAGACATTTAATTATTAATTTAATAAAAAAATTAGTATTCCTAACATTATTCCGTTATTAATCCTGCAAGACTGACCCCAACAACCACCGGAAAGTGAAAGATTTTTAACTGATCTCTTTTGGAAAGAGGGTAAAAGTTAATTTTTTTAGTTTTTTTCAACTTTTTTTTTAAAAACAAAAACATGTAAAAAAATAAAGAGATGCATGATGTGATTTAAAATAAATTAAAAACGAAAAAATTAACTTTTAACATACTTTTCAAAATAATAGTCAATCATAAAACTAATAAATTCTATAATTTTTTTTTACAATACTGTCCTTTCATAAAAAATAATTAAATTACTAAAATTTTCTTATAAAATTTATTACAAAAATTATGTAACAGTGACGTCCTTATAAATTATGACTCAAATGATGGCATTACTCTTCAAATCAAAAAATCACAATCTGTCACATTGTTCTATAAAATATTTATGTTAGTTTTTTCTATTTGTATATTTGGACCGAAAGAAATTAGTACTTAAAAAGAAATTATAATGATATCAAACTTCAATCATTACAATATAATTAAAAAAAAAAAAAAGACATTGCAATTAAAATGATTTCAAATTTTCAAAATGAAGAAAAAAAAGTAAAAAAATGTAGCCACTATAAAATATAAAAAAAATAAAATGTTATATTAAAAAGGTTTAGGTTTACATACGTCAATACGACACATTTTAATTAAACAAATCAAATTGTATCACAATATGGGTAGAGATTTATTATTATAAACAGACTTATTTAATGTCAGTAACATTAGAAACATAGAAATCAAATACAGAATGTGACATAATCTTCTTATAAGGAGTGAGTCCCACCTCTTATAAAATAGTTATATCCCATTCGTAAACTTATTTAATATAATTTAATATAGGTGTTAAACTTATCGACCCATTTACTATACAAATTCAACCCAACTCTACTAACTATGGTAATTTCATATCATATGTAGAAAATTGTCACCATTAACCCTTGATGGTATACCTTTTTACTTGGTCGTTATTAAATGGACCATTAACCCTTAATTACTTGGTCATTATTAAATGGAGAAGACGAAGACCTGGAGTCTTTGTCATTATTCTCAAGTCTTCTCAAATCTTTGAAGACTTGGGATGTCAAAGTTGAAGCATGGACAGCTTCTTAAATTCTTTCATCAAATCATCGTAAACATCACCAAATTCCCAGTGTTCACATGCACCTGGTCACCATGAGTGACCCATTATTAGTCCTGCAAGACTGACCCCAACAACCCCTGTAAATTGGAAGTTTTTTTAACTGTGATAATGTAATGATATAATAGTCAATCACAAAACTAACAAACTCTATAAAAAAAAATTTCAACAATGTTTTCTTTTTATTAGTAAAATTTTAGCTTTATAACTTTGAGTTTATAAGTTTAAATCATAGAACAACTACTTTATGCACAAGGCAATCACTTTGTGTACTATACCTATTTTTTGCACTATACCAAAGATTAAGTTTATGTCTAATATTTCTCCTCCCAAATACACATTAATATGTATTAATTGAGCGTTATTATTATTATTATTTTACAATGTTACCCTTTCATATTATATTTAAAAAAAAACGTTAAATTACAAAAAAAAATTCATATAAAATTTATTACAAAAATTATGTAATAGTGACATCCTTACAATTATGACTCAAACGACGGCATTACATTTTCAAATCAAAAGATCACAATCTATCACATTATTCTTTAAAATATTTCTGTTAATTTTTTTCTTTTTCTTTTTCTTTTTTATATATTTGGACGGTGTTTGGACCCATAGCGCTCACACATCTCAAACGTCTCAATTTATTGACTAAACTTTCAGGTCCATATGTAGATCATTTATAAAAAATCAAATTGGATCCAATAATCATAATCTGGTCCATATGTAGATCATTTATAAAAAATCAAATTGGATCCAATAATCATAATCTCATGATTTCATCGTAAACCTTTTCAAACATCTCATGATTTCATCATAAATCAGTTCAAATAAATGGACGGTTTATTTTTCAAAAATTGGGTAATAATCGGTAGACCTGAAGCACCAAGTGACATTGCTTTAGCAGTACTGTGAACTAATCACGTAACGCAAAATTTTACGGGATAAGACATGCTAACTTAATTTTGTTAAGTAATTAGAAGGTAAAAGATGACTCCCTTATTCTGTGTTGTGATTTCTCATTAGCCTATCATATGGTACTCAAAAAGTATGTATAATTTTCCTTCAAAATCATGTCTATTTTTTTTTTTTTTAAGAAAAGTACAAAAAAAAAAAATCACATATGATTACATTTATCAAATCATCCATGATCTACAAGTAAAACCCTATAAAATAAGTGTTTTTTTTTTTTTGGTAGAAACCTATAAAATAAAGTGTTTGAATCACTAAACTTATACATGCAAGGCCCAAATAGAATAAAGCTTGAGACCCCCACCCCCAGTGACCCCCAATGACCCCCAGTGCCACGTGGCACCGCGTGATTGGAAAGAAAAGAAAAAAAAAATTGTTTTTGGCCACTGGGGGTGCTGGGGGTGCCCCCCACTGGGGGTCCCTAGCACCACTGGCCCAAATAACACCCTCCAATTAAAACAAATAGTGGACTGTAAAAATTATTTTCCCAATTTTTTTTTTAAACTGCTAATTTGTTAAAGCGGATTATTAATTGGTAGATAGAAATTCTGACCTGACTGCTCTTGGAAAGACCAGCATCATAAGTCAAGGAAAGATCGGGGTTGAAAAGTCCGAAAGAGCGTTCGGATCCGGGTCCGGGCTTCAAATCCTCATTATAGATTGCAAATATATAAGTATCCACGGATTTTCCGGGCATGAGTGGAGTGCCAACCATGGATCGGAGGTGGTTGATGAGATTCCCATTATAGGCTTTAGCATTATCAATGCTGGGTCCGACTTCATTCGGGTCACCCTTGTATGGCCACCCGGTCTCTGCAACCACTATCTCAATGTCCTTGAATCCCATTGCATTCAATGCCGATCGTATTGCATCAACCTGCACCCAACATATATCTATCTTGTATTATTTCTCATTTTGCCCTTAAGTTTATTTTTGAATTTTTTTATTTTTGGTTGGTGAATTAATTTGGATGGAGGGCTTTTAAAAATTATGTAAGAAATTTGGATTAATTGTAGTTAGCTTAATAGTCCAAAAGTTGGGATTTTTTTAAGGTTTTTTTTTTTTTGTGATAAATTACAAACACACCCCTAAAGTTTGTTTTAAATATAAATTATTTTTTGTGGTTTTGAAAATTACATTATGCCCTTTTAAATTTCACAACAAATAGTTTTTTTTTTCTTAATAAATCATTAAGTCAATTAAAAAATTCTATTAATGTCAAAATTTTATTTCAATTAATAATTTAAGTATTATTATTATTATATATGAGAGCAGCTAGAAAATTTATTTTTTCAATTAATTTTATTAAATAAAATATTTTAATAATGAAGTATTTGTAATTTTGTAAACCACAAAAGACAAGTCGTATTTTAAACAAATCGTGTATTTATAATTTACCATTTTTTTAAAAAAAGTGATGTTAGAGTGATTATTTGTATGATTGTTATACTCTTAACTTCTGACTATTGTATATTTAATTTTTGAAAAATTAAATATCAATCAGCTAAAAATAATTTAAAATTACTTTAGAGAATCCGAACTCATAACTAAAATTGTAATAAAGGCACATAATCATTATATTTCATCTCATTCTAATTAACCAAATACAACATAAGACTTCATAACAATATATTATAGGTGAAATAAAATGATTGTATATAAATATATAAGGTCTACTCCACTATATTTTTCTTCCATCAAACAAACACTACTATAAAATCAAAAAATCAAATTTTAATAAATAAATATACAACTCACCCATGCCTTGGACAAGCCTCCCTACCTAGTGTGTGTATACATATATATAAATATATTTGTAACCCAAATTCATGAGCCTTTTGCGCAAATGGAGCTCACACAATTCATTATGCCAACCACATTCACATTCACATTCACATTCACATTTTATTTCCATTCTCCATTCTCCAAAATAATATAAAAAACAAAAATTGATATGAAAATTTGTCTATCTAATTTTGCATAAAAATGAAAATGACATGAAAATAATGACTAAGGTTGTTCGAATGTGACATGTACATCACATATTACATTGACCCTTTTAATGAGAGTTTTTCGAAAGGGAATGAACATATACCACATTAGATTGGACATGCACTACATACAAAAAACCATGTGTCGTTCCAGGATTTGGCTAAATTTGATGGCTAAATTTGATGTCGGTCGAGCCTAATATAACCATTTCAAAATTGGCTCTAAAAGAATTTATAAGTCTCAAATCCACTCACTTAACCCGATATATGGACTATTATTTTTATTTTTATTTTTTGGAGAATTATTAAATAAATTTATCTCTTTTAATGTTTCTTTGAATTTAGGCTATTAAGAAAATCTAATTATAAATAATTTGAGGCTTTAAACAAATGTTTTAATTTTAACCCTAAAAACAAACACATATATTGCTCAATTTTTTTTTTTTTATATTTATAGCTTATTATGTAATTAAACAAATAATGATTGTTTAATAAATAGATAAATAGACTAAAAATCTTAATAATTGTTTTTGTTTTCCAATTAATGATTTTTATTTTTTTTTTGGTCGAAATATTGGAAGCAAAATCAAATGGTGACACACCAGCACATATGCAATGGATACATAATAGGATAAATTATACTTACACCCATGAGATTTGTATTTAATACATATCACTCCTGACATTTGTGAAATTACACTAACCTCCCTATCATTGTAATTATTTAAACGGAATTAAGATATTAAACTAATATACTCTCTCTTTTTCCTCTATTTTTTTTTCTGTCTTTCCTTTGCTTTATTTTTTTTTTCAATGTCATTTCTTCTGTTTTTCTATTAAGAGTTGTTACTTTTTACATAAGTAGGAATTTATGAAATAAGACTATTAATCACATGAATATAAATATAATTTTCAAAACGTCAGAAAGTAAAATATAATTAGACCAAATCTCAAGAATGTCAGTGTAATTTACCTAACATAATAATAGAAGGATCACATGCCATGGTATCTAAAGTTAGAGAAAGTTAAGTAATACTAAAGATATCAAATTTTCTATTAAATAAATGACTAAATATTTCACATGAGTGTGTAATCTATAAAAGTGTGAGGTCTATACTCATACAAGACATTTAATTATTTATTTAATAAAAAATTTGAAGCTTATAACATTTTTTTTAAAAGTTTTCTAAACTACCAAACTCATGGCATATGTACAAAAATTCCAAATCTTTTATTGGCTTTGTCTGCAAATTATTGTAATGGCCAGCCTGTCACCAACGTACATAGCCCACATATAATTGTTCAAATATTATCCAGGTCCCATCATTTCAAAATAAAATATAAGTAGTTGGGGGGATTACTATTGTGGCTATGAGACCAAAAATGCCCTTTCTGTTATTATTTTTTCACCGACCATAAGTAATTTTTCTAAAAAAACAAAATAATAAAAAAAAATTAAGTATTACTTTAATACTATTTTACGGGAAGTTATTAGTCAATAAAAAAATCATAAATAAAATTAAGTAAATGAGTCTTATCCTCCATTAAACTAATAATTTTTCTTTTAGATAACAAATAAACTCTTAAAGGTTTCGTTTTGAAAGAAGGGTTGGGTTGGATTTGAGATTATTTTAGCCATAAAAAGATATAGTAGATTTTTTAATTCAATAAATCAAAACATCACATCCAACTCATAATTATTAAATTATTTCTCTCACAAAAAGTCAAAAACCCGCTTTCTAAACGAAGTCATAATTGTCTGTCTTTCGTAGATTTTAAAATCACATATTTAAAGTCGGTTTAACTGGACTAGGACGAGGGAGAAACTTCGAGTGTGTATACTAACTCTACAACGTACATATCATTTAAGTCATAACGCGCAGCTGTTAGGATTTTACTCCACACTCAAACACTGAATACGGTTCGTCTATCACTTGGAGACCCGTCTTACCTATCATAACATGAAGACCCGTGTTAGAACTAATTAAACTAATCATGTTATCCCTACCTATCATAACATGAAGACCCGTCTTAGAACTAATTAAACTAATCATGTTATCCCTACCTATCATAACATGGAATTGTTTTCCTAAATATTTCCAATCCTCGAGTCTACACCAATTTAGCCCTTAAAAGAAACATAGGGAGTTTATACATAATAAATATTTCTTTACACCTATATCATTCATTATGATACATATATATTAAAACAAAAGTCAAATGTAATGAATTTTAGAAACATTCTAATTCAGAAAATGCACTTGAATCGGACAAAGTTTTGTTTTCATATTGACTAGTAATTTTTATATGCAGATGAAATATATATATTATATAGTACCTTCTATTATTATGGTTAGATTTGATAGTGAAATTTATCATATTTATGTTACGTGTCTCGAAAATAAAAAAAGATATATATATGTATATATTTATAATTGGTAAGAAATAATACCATGTAATATTCCATTCACATATAAAAATTTCTCCAAATTGACAGTGCAAGACACATTTACACGTATTAGTATGTCATTATCAATAAATAAATAAATAACAGGAGTTACTTTTGTTATAATTTTTACCTTTCATAATTGGACAACACTTGTCACTATAAAACTTTAATATATGAGTGGAATTGATTCAGAAAGGTTAAAAAATTTAACAAAAATAATAATAATAAAAACCAAGGTCTATGATAGATAAGAGTTTGACTACAAAAACCGTATAAGGCACTGCTGCACGAGTCCAGATCGCCACACAGAATTTAAGAATATATAAAGATTGAGGAAAAGTGGTTCCATTCAGTTCAAAAAAAAAGAAAAAGAAGTGGTCCCATTTGATTATGTTTACGTTTCTTTGTGATTTTAAATATATATATATATATATAAAAACTGAAAATTTAAAATAATAACAGGTGTTACTTTTGTTATAATTTTTACCTTTCATAATTGGACAAGACTTGTCACTATAAAACTTTAATATATGAGTGGAATTGATTCAGAAAGGTTAAAAAATTTAACAAAAATAATAATAATAAAAACCAAGGTCTAAGATAGATAAGAGTTTGACTACAAAAACCGTATAAGGCACTGCTGCACACATGGAACTTGCCACACAGAATTTAAGAATATATAAAGATTGAGGAAAAGTGGTTCCATTCAGTTCAAAAAAAAAGAAAAAGAAGTGGTCCCATTTGATTATGTTTACGTTTCTTTGTGATTTTAAATATATATATTGTTTACGTTTCTTTGTGATTTTAAATATATATATATATATATATAAACTGAAAATTTAAAATACTCATCATTTTTTTTAATAATTTTTTGATATTTTAAAAAGTGAGTCATTCATAGAAAACTTTTTCTGAAAATAATTTTTAGAAACAAGTTTTATATGTTTTTGGAAAAAGTGAAAACATAACCAAATAAGTTATGAATTGAAATATATTTTAAAATTGTGTAAATATAAATTTAATTTTGATATGATTTGAGTGGCACTTCATAATAAGGTCAAGTTTGACAAGTTCATAAAAAGTCAAAAAGTTACTCAAAAAGTTAAAAAATTAACATTATTCACCAAAAGTCAAAAATTACGGCTGCATAACTCCCAATTCTAATTTTCCCCTACACAATAATTCCCTACACACTAATTTATACAATTTTTTAATACATATTTTTCTATAAAAAGTCAAAAAGTTAACCCCAACATTCATATTTTTTTCCTCTAACCCAAACATTCATATTTTTTTCCTCAATTTTTTAATCCAAAAAGATAAAAAGTACACTTATTTAAAACACCCCAAACAATCCCTAAATGTGACCGTTTCATTTTCGGAAAATCTCTAAAATGCATTTTGTAAGTGCACAGTATTACACGAAGATTAACATACTAGGCTTTTTCATGATTGGGCGCCAAAGTCAGTAAAACTCACCTGGGCATCAAACATGTTCATGTATTTGATACCAGTCCCTGAGTCGACTCGTCCAGCGTTGGGTTGGAAAAGACAAAATGCCAGCGTTTCAGCTCTCGTGTCGCTTGTGTATGCAAAAAAAGGGTACGGATTGATCATAAAAGGCGAACCAGTTGCCCTCATGAATGCCAGCATTGCTCTCATTGTGTCACCGAAACTCGGGTTGAAAGCACCAGAGGATGGCGGGTCAGACTGAGTCAACACAGCCATTGAGTGTACCGTTGAGACCTTAATCTTACCACCTAAGGAAGCTGCAAGTCATAAAATATTGGAATTCACTTCACATTAGGCACAATTTTCATGATTTATTTAAACAGTTAGATTTGAGGGTTTGTTTGTTTTTATTTTATTTATTTATTTATTTATTTTTATTTTTTAAATTTTACAATGAACACTAGGTTAAGTTATTGCCATATACAACCATTTATAAAAAAAAAATTTGCAATAGTATTACATATATCAATTAGTATACAAATTAATGTATCAAAATATGTTGTGATATTATTACTGACCCCACCTATTATATAAATTATAGATACTCAAAATCTCTAAAATTATGTTACATCATCTATTAATACACGAATTGATATACCAATAAATACATATAGGCGGTGTTTTGGAAATTTGGTTTTTTTTTTTTTTTTCACTGAAAGACAAATTGGTTACAAAATCAAAAAAAAAACAAATGCAAACAAAATATCACATCAAACTCTATAATCATTTCATTTTTTTTCTCACAAACATCACATCCAACCACAAAAAAACCCAACTATCTTTCCAAACACAAAAAAAAAAATTCTCCAATAATATCCTACAACTAAAAAAACCTACAAAAAAATTCACTTCTCAAACACCCACATAGTATTAGGAGTGGCAACGGAGCAGGGCGGGGCCGGGGATCGCCCTCCCCGTCCCCGATCCCCGACGGTGAAATTTTCCCGATCACCGACGAGGAACCTATCACCACCCTCGCCCCCGTCCCCTAACGGGGATCGGGTTCCCCCGACCCCGAAGAGTCCCCGGCCAAAAAACAAAAAAAAAGAGCTTCATTAACAAATTCAATAACAGATTCAACGACACAAAAGTTATTGCCATATACTTTTTCACTTCAATAATTAGCTTATATACTCAAAAGTAAAATCCACAATCAACCAATCCTCACATTTATATACGTAATCCCAAAAAAGCAAAAAAAAAAAAAATGCATTGATGTGATTCATTAATCAAATTACATATGCCTGGCTTCTCTTCAGTCCGATCTGATTGGAGAGTGTTGGACCCGTAAAAGTCTACTATAAGTCTCGTTTGGATAATTCAAACCGTTTAATGTGTAAAACTTGTCGAGTATTATATGTCTGTAAAAAATCACGTTGATCGAATATCGATAGCTACGTGATCAAATCAGTTTTGTATAAAAAAAAAATAGACGGTGAAAAGATAAACAGTTAACAAAAAATTGATCCGATGATATATCTATCGATATCCGATCAACATGATTTTTTACAAGTATATATTACTTGACGAGTTCTACTTAACGGTTTGGATTATCGAAACAGGACCCGTGGTGGACCCCCACAGACCCAACAACACTTTCCAGTCCGATCTGAGACTGGAAGGAAGCCACTGCCATTACATATATCCCAACTAAAACACTATTGACTATTTGAATAATTTTTACACTATGTTTAGTTAGAAGATTTGAAAAGGGATTTAGAAAATGAAAAGAAAAATGTAGGTGGATTTCACTTATGTTCACACGTATTTTTTCTTTTCTTTTTTAAATCACTTCCCAAATCTTTTAACTCAACACAAGGTTAGTCTCTATGAAATGAACAACTATGCAATCTTCTCAAAACCCCAAGTTGGTGGTGTATATGCCAAATAACAAGAGGTTATGTATTTACATGATCTAAAAAAATAAAAAATAAATAAAAAAATAATAATAAAATTTAAAAATATGATGAAACACCTTTGATAAAACAAGTAGCATTCCAAATTAATATAATAATTTTTGCCATTGAAAGAGACATTAACTAAAACACAATGCTAAACGCAAAAATAAAAGAGAGAATCAACAACACGTCTCATTAATGTAAATGTTGATCCAAAAACTTTGGAGATTTATAATATTTTTTACTACAATGAAACAAAATTTGTAGAAATTGGAAGAATACGGACCTGCATTGAGGGCATTTTGGAGATTTTGCATCGCGGGCAAGATTTGGGAGATAAGGCCCTGATCTTTGGACGTCATGACCTCGTTACCCACCGTGACGACGATGATCTTGCTCCCCGGGTAATACGCCAATACGTTGGTGCTGACCCACTGACCCGCGAAGTTAGGGTCGGAAGCCAGAGCCGGGATGTCTCCGTTTCCGGCGCCGATGACTATTCCTATGTTGGTGTTGGCCAACGCCTTGATTATCGCCGGATCAGCGCCGTAAAGCCTGACCTTCTGTATGGTGGTCGACTGGAGAAGCTTTACTGTCTCCGTCGGCGGCGGCAGGTTGTCCGCCACTTCCCCGTAGTTGACGCCGATGAACGACTGCGCTCCTGCCAACAAAACACAATGGGTTGAGTTGGCTTGGACTGAGTCCACTCACAAAAATTTTACCAATTACCGGCAAATAATATTATAATAATAAAAAATAAATAAAAGGTCTTTCCCCGAAGTCTTCATTCAATATACAAATCAAAAAGTATACATTTTCCAGTCACTTTACATGATTCAAACTGAGTCGACTCAGATAGATTCAGAATAAAAAATTACTGGTAATTATAGGGGGAAGACGTCCTTCTCCAAGTCTTTAATATACAATTGAAAAAGACACAATTACATGACTCGAACTGAGTAGACTCAGATTGACCCAATTTTTTTAAAAACTAAACTACAGGGAAAAATACGTCCTTCTCGAGATGGTTAATAATACAAATGAAAAGGACGCCTTTACCGGCGTGAAGTAGTCAGTAAAATCAAATCACCGAAAACTGCCCACTCACCGAGTGAACTTCGATTCAACGAAAATTCGAGACGAGTCACAAAACACACACACACACACACATACACACAAACAAAAAGGATTATCAAGCAAGAAAATCAAAATCGGAGAAAAAATAGAATGGGAGATCTGGGAAACTGAAAGGAAACAGAGGAGAGAAGAGAAGAGAATAGGACTTACTTGCAAGGTGAAAGGAGTGCAGGGATAGGCACATAAAGAGGAAGATTAAGGAGTGTATGATTGTCTTGGTCGCCATGGCTGAATAGCTCCCAAGTTGTGATTATCTATCTCAACCCACCGCAGACTTTATAAGCCTGATATTATTGAGTGATAGAAATTGAACCGCACTTACTGTAAACGGTAAAAATTGGCTTGCCTTGGAGTTTTCTTGAGTAAAAAATGTTGAACCAGAACTTGCCTCAAAGGTCTCAAGTTTCAAGTCCTTTTTTTTCCAAATTTCTCTAGAATTTGCTTTTCAAAAAATTTACTAAAAATAAATAGTTTAAATTTTAAAAAATTAAAATCAAATATATTGATTATAACTAGTATCCGGATACACGTGATGTGTGCAAACTCATTTGAAGGTACAATATGCAATTGATATATTCTTTTGTTACTAATGCACATATATATATATACAAATATATACAAATTTTTTTAAAAAAATACTTACACATGAAATTAAATAAACAAACAAATTAATTTTTTGAGAGATCATTGTTATTTTTATTCAAGACTAAAATTAGGCCCAATTTTCGTACTTAGTGATGTTGCAATAAATTAGGATATTAAAGAAAGAAAAATAATACTCAATTATTTTTTTTTAACATAATGAAGCATTTCATTTTCTATAAAAAAATATAATTAACAGTATTAAACAAAAATATAAAAATACAAATTCAAGACACTTACAGCACTGACACTGAATATTTTTTAAAAAACAAACACAATTAAGTAACAAACAAACCAAAATTTTAAAAACAAAGTTTATACACAAAAAATAAACAAATGCTTACAAATGTAAAATAGGAAAAAATCCCGAAATGTTTACTAATCTTAAAAAAGTGCACACACGCACACCCCAAAGTGTTTAAGGTGGTATTTGATATAGTTAAAAATTGAAAATTGAATGTTAAATTTTTTAAGTCGAAAAATTGTTTGATAAAAATTTAAGTGCTGAATTAAAAAAAGTTGTTTGATATGTGTAAGATATTTTTTTAAATTGTATATTTTAATTTTTATATTGGGATGGTAGCGGTAGTGGTAGTGGTGGCGGTGACATGGTGGTGGTGGTAATGATAATAATAATAGTAAAATGATGGTAATGTTTATGGTAATAATGACAATGGTGATGAAGGTGATGGTAGTGATGGTGGTGGCAGCGAAGGCATGATGGTGGCGGTGATAGTGGTAGTGGTAGTAGTAGCGGTGGCATAGTGGTGATAGTAGTAATAGCGATAATGATGGTGGTGGTGGTGGTGGTGGTAGCGATGGTGGTGGCGTGATGGTTGTGGTGGTGGTGGTGGTGGTGGTGGTGGCAATGGTAGTGGTGGTGACATGATGGAAATGGTTGTGGTTGTGGTTGTGGTTGTGGTTATGGTAGCGATGGTGGTGGCGTGATGGTTGTGGTGGTGGCCTGGTAAGTGGTGGCGGTGGCATGATGGTGGTGGTGGTAGTGAGTTTATAATAGTGTATATCGATATTTATGTTTAATATTTATAAATTTAATCAGAAAAGTTTTATATAACTTAGTTTGTTTTTTAAAGTTTTAGCCTACATTTTAAGAGGCACTTAAATTTTTAAATGATATCAATTATGGTTATCAAACAGGTTTAATTGATTATCATTTAATCAATTCAGTTTTAAGTGCTAAATTATATTATCAAACGCCCCCTAAGTCTAAGTCTAATCTAAAAAATTGCACACACACGTGATGGTGTTGAACTATTCACAGAAGCCTGCACAAATATCAACAATAAAATATTTTTCGCTTGGCAATTTTTTTTTTTTAAATTGAATATAAAAATATAGAAGTAGACAAAATAGAAAAATACAAACTCAAGACACTTCGAACACTGGTAGTGTAACAACCCCACTCTGTGATTAACGACTAATCCATAATTATTATTAGATTGTTACATGCATATTCAGAACATGTAAAGAAAGGCATAGTTTTGAAGAATTGACTTGTTTTTGGGTTTTGATTTTGTGGAATGATCTTCAATTCATGATAGATATATGAGTTTCTAAATGTTTTCTTAACTTTTGACTCAAAAGAATGTGTTTTTATGCAAAGGAAGTGAGTTTTGAACTTGGAACTGAAATACGAAAGTTCTAGAATTCGTAGGGTTCACTCGAGCGATGGTTCCTTCGCTCGAGTGTATTTTGCAAGCTCTCAGAAGTTTTGCAGAGATTGATAGTTGGCTCGAGCAACCACCCTTTATTTTCAATCTTAGCTTGAGCATAAAATGAGAGCATCCGATACTTTTGCAGACCAAGGGGTCTGCTCGAGTGACCAAAGCTTTGCTTGAGCGAACTTTCCTATTTTTTGAAATTTTGTTATGTGTTTCAAAGTGTATAATTGCATCCTCATTCCATCTTAGGCATTTTTAAGCCATGGTTTAAGCCATAATAACGAGGAACCAAATTTGAAACACACTAAGAAAGAAGTGAAATATGTTAAGCGCCTACAAAATGTGTGTTTCAATGTGTATCCGTTATGTGTTTGTGTAAGTCACGCGCTACCGTCTGTCTGATCCGTCTGTTCTGCTTTCTGGAGCTATCTGTGAGTAACAACTCTGTAAAGCTATGTTTGATTATAAGTATTTTCTGAATGATATGATATACTCTATTTTTTGAAATGATATTTTGTTATAGGTTTTCTGAAATATATTTGTGGCATCCTTAGTATCATGTGTATCTGTCATGTGCTATATATTACCTGGTACCAGGGTTTCATATAGGTTCCATTCATGGAATTGATCATGTATAATCAATTATTTGATCTGCACGTGGGTCTTAATGACTATCTCATGTGAATATGGGTCTTTATGACCACTTACTCTGCATGTGGGTTTTTATGACTAATCTGATCTGTTAGATCTAATGGATGTATCACGTATGACTATTTATGAATCTGAATATGTATATGAATTTATTTCTGATCTAAATTCTAATTTTTGAATTTATTAAGGACATCATTCATAAAACTTTTACTCTATTGTTATTCATTAGGCTCCAGCTCATTATTTATATTATGTATGCAGGTGACTAGGTGCGTAACCAGGCTTGAGACTTCCAGTTTGAATTCTATTCTGTTAGCCAACATGTGCACCTCCCGAGGAGGTTTCAAAAATCTTTTGTGATCAAGTCTCGTGGTCAATGTTTTGTGTTCTAAGGTTCAAGTTCTATTCTCTTTTGTTTTGGTTGGACAACTTTTGTTTGCTTCATATATAAGGCTAAGTCCCTTGTTGTTTATCTGTACATGTGATGACATCATAATACATGCAAATATAAGTTTAAATTTTATGTCTCATATAAGTCTGCACAGCTCTTTGGACCTTGTATTTTGATATTTGCTTCCACTAGTCCCTTATTTTGCTAATATGTTTTAGAGGCCTTCGGTAATTTTAAGATTACTGACCGGTTACGACGCTAAACCAATATGGGCGGATTTAGGTCATGACATACAGTCAAAAAGATTAGATAGACATAAAAACTATAATTAACAATAGTGTGCACAAAATACCAAAATTAAAATCCATACTCTTGGAACACTTCAAAAAGATTTATAGGCACAAAGAAAAATAATAATAAGATTAATATAAAAACTTTTTATAAATGAAGAAAAAAAATTCCAGACCGTTTAAGTCTAAGTATAAAAAATTACGCGCACACGTTATGGTACCAAAGTCTTCAAAGAAGCCTGCACGAAAATGTGAAGAAGAAAACATTTTCTACTTCACAATTTAAAAATAAAACACACACGTGATGGTCGGAAGGTGTTAATTATATTTTCTATTGAAATTTTAAGGGAAAATTATTTATAAGTCCTATTACAGAGACTTATACTACATATGGTCCTACAAAAAAACTTATGTTCCCATAAGTCCTGTGTGAAGTTTATTGACACATTTACCCTCAATATTAGTTGTTAATATCATAAATAATAGTAAAACCATATATAGGAAATTGAATGTTACCATAGATCATTTCTATATAAACGTAACGTAACGTAACGTGGCACCTACATAAACGTAACGTGACACTTATGATCTATGGTAACATACAATTTCCTATATAGGAAATTGAATGTTACCATAGATCATATCTACATAAACGTAACGTAACGTGACACCTACATAAACGTATCGTGACACCTATAATCTATGGCAACATTCAATTTCCTATACAAGAAATTGAATGTGAACATAGATCATATCTATATAAACGTAACGTAACGTGACACCTACATAAACGTAACGTGACATCTATGATCTATGGCAACACTCAATTTCCTATATAGGTAATTGAATGTTACCATAGATCATATTTATATGAAACGTAACGTGACACCAACATAAACTAGCAACATTTTCACATTCAATTTAAAAAAATAAAAACTCATTAAGTTTGCGAAACATAACGTGACACGTAACGTACGTTTATGTAGGTGTCACGTTACGTTTATATAGGTGGCACGTTACGTTACGTTTATGTAGGTATCACATTACGTTACGTTACGTTTATGTAAGTGTCACGTCACGTTACGTTTATGCAATATCTTGTGGAATACATTCCTATCTAAATAGGACTTGAGACTCTATAAGAAATTACACAGGACTTAGCCTAGCACAAGTGTCTGAAAAAGGATTTATAAATAAGTCTCCCAAATTTTAATTAATAATATTACATAAAAAAATATAAATTCAAAACTCTTAAAACATATTTTTTTTAAGAACACTTCAATTTTTTCTTTTATCAAATTTAAATTTGATGAAAAGAGTAGACTTTTGTTACTCTAACATTTACATCAAACCAAATCTAGGATATCTTAATTTTTTTTATCAAATTCAGGATGTGTGTACTTTTCATCAATTTACTATACATAGTCATTGGAGATGCAAAGCATGCACCATCTCCGAACAACCGGTCGGTTTTCTCCCCGGTCGACCATTGTAGCATTTGTGTTCTTTAAAACTTTTGGGAAGTATAATTGAATCATTATTATGTTTTGGAAAACCTTTGGCGTTGTTATGGGTTGGTTTTGGAGGAGTATAATCTGATTTAAACTTGTTGGGTTTGGTTGCTCGCATTTATTCTTGTCAAAAGTTCCATGGAGACTTAGAAATTCCATTCTAAGGTCGACACCAGCCTTCCTAGGGTC